GGTTGTGATCGAGAAATAAAAACTGGTAAAACCCGAGATCTTAATAAACACATGAATTTAAATGGAAACCTTCGTAAGGGGCAATGTCAACCAGCTTTGCGTTAATGCAAAACCCACTCCCAGCAGGAAATCCAGCTACTCAAAATCCGGCTGAAAACTCAACCACGGTACAAAATATACCACTAGCTGAAAATCCAGCACCGACCCCGGAAGGCGATCTCATATCATTTGACGAAAACCCACCGACGCACCAGCCAACCCAGCCGAGAGAGGCAAGCGCGCCGGCAGTCGACCTTTTAACTGATTTAACGATAGATGAATTAATAAAACGGCTATCAAAACCGGAAATAGATAACGAAAAAGATAGCGAACCAAGTGATTCAGAATATGATACCGCTGAAGAAGAACCAGATATTCATTTCGAAAAAATTAAGGATCCATACATTAATAGAATAGCAGAAGCCGGAAAATTTAATGAAGGTGAGGTATTAGTATGTGATTACTATGCATTCGTGCCAAAAGGATATTATGCAGAAAACAAACCACTAGGTTTCTTTGAATCAATCGAAGAAAAGATTGCTAATGTTTACAAAAGAGAGTTGGCTTTAAAGGGTGGATTAAAGGTAAGAATTGTATTATTAGCGTATATGAAAAAAATTACATCTGAATCTCAAGAGCCAATATTTAAAACTTTTCCATTCAAGCATGAAACAATTGAAATTATCAGAGAAGACCGAATTGGAGCTGTTATAGAAAAGGGATATAATGAAATTATTGATCAGATCGAAAATGAAGCATTACAAGAATCAGGATGGACATTTGTTCGAGCAGAAGAAGTATTTCTTGAAATTAGTGCATTCAGACCATTAAGAGGTAGTAGTCATTTACCTTTACCAGAAAATTTAAATAAGCCACAGCTCCGGTTAATTAATCCACAAAATTTAATAATAACGAATGTTTCAGAGATTGCATCTCAGTACATCATGCAAGAGAAGATGCATTAAAAGCAGGGCAAAAACCAACACATCTTGAACGAGTAGGTAAGATTAGACGGTATGGTAACATAGCTAATTTTAAAGGTATAAATTTTCCAGCAACGCTTCATGACATTGATAAATTTGAGGAAAATAACCCAAATTATGCTATAAATATATTTAGAATGAAGTATTTGGAAAAATAAAAGTAGATATAGACCCATTACGTATTTCAGAAAGAAATTATCAAGTCGAACATATGATAGATTTAACAGAAGGTGAAGAGAATTTAAATGATCGAAAAAACAAAAATGATGTGCCAGAAGGATTAAAAACACATTATGTATTTATAACAAATTTTACTCGATTAATGCGTAAGTGGAATAATCATCATGGAAAGAAATACTTTTGCTGAAAATGTTTACGATTTCCATACAGCAGATTAGATTTATTAGAAAATCATATTTCAACATGTACAGGACCAAGTAAAGCACCACAACGATTAATCCTTCCTGAAGAGGGTAAAAATTATGTAAAACCAAAGTATATCAAAAACATGCTAATGAAACCTTATATAATCAATATGGATTTAGAAGCAGAAGAAGTTGAAGTGGAGGGAAAATATAAAGAAGGAAATACTATAAAATTAGCGGAACACAAAGCAGTTTCATATGGATATACAATACATTGTTCAGATGGAACTACACAAAAGCCAGTAATTAATCGAACGTCAGAAAATATAATAAAAGATTTAATAGAAAACCTTCAAGAAGATCTAGACGTTATTTTAGATAAGCTTCGCATTCCAGTTCCATGTGAAAAAATGACACCTGAATTATGGCGGAAATATCAAATGGCAAATAAGTGTTGGAACTGTGAAGATAAATTACATGATAATGAAGCTGGATATAATAAAATTTGTGTATTTGATCCTGAAACTAAAAAATACTTAGGTGCTTCACATAGGAAATGTTACAGAAAATAGCCAATGATTCAAGGTAAGTTAGATGATGAGCAAAAAGAAAAGCGTAAATTTTGTAAGATATGTATGTATTGTAAAACTCAATTGCCAGATGAAGAAAAAAATAGGGTACTAGATTATGACCATATTAATATCACAGGAAAATTTCGAGGAGCATCACATAATGAATGCAATCTGAAATTACGAATTGATCCGGAAACAATAAAAAAATTTCATTAACCTTGTGCATTTTTCCAGTTTATATTGTCGTGACGTTACACGTGGGAGAGCGATCGTGTAACCTCCTTGAGATTTAGCGTCTTCCAACGGTCGTTATCGGC